CTTGGAGAAGGCGTTCGACCGCGTCCCTCGGGGAACCCTGTGGGGAGTACTCAGGGAGTATGGGGTACCGGGCCCTTTGATACGGGCTGTTAGGTCCCTGTATGACTGGTGTCAGAGCCTGGTCCGCATTGCCGGCAGTAAGTCGGGCTTGTTCCCGGTGAGAGTTGGACTCCACCAAGTTTGCCCTTTGTCACCGATTCTGTTCATAACTTTTATGAACAGAATTTCTAGGTGCAGCCAAGGTGTTGAAAGGATCAGTTTTGGTGGCGTCTCTGCTTTTTGCAGATGATGTGGTCCTACTGACTTCATCAGATAGTGATCTACAGCTTTCGCTGGAGCAGTTCGCAGCCGAGTGCGACGTGGCCGGGATGAAGATCAGTTCCTCCAAATCCGAGGCCATGGTCTTGAGCCGGAAAAGGGTAGAGTGCACTCTCCGGGTCAAGGAGGAGGTCCTGCCCCAAATGGAGGAGTTCAAGTATCTTGGGGTCTTGTTCACGAATGAGGGAAAAATGGAACGCGAGATCGGTAGGCGGATAGGTGCAGCGTCTGCATTGAAGCGGGCACTGTACAGGTCTGTCGATGTGAAGAGAGAGCTGAGTCAAAAGGCAACGCTCTCAATTTACTGATCGATCTACGTTCCTACCTTCATCTATGGTCATGAGCTTTGAGTTGTGACCGAAAGAACAAGATCTTGGATACAAGCGGCCGAAATGAGTTTTCTCCGCAGTGTGTCTGGGCTCTCCCTTAGAGATACGGTGAGAAGCTCGATCATCCGGGAGGGACTCAGAGTAGAGCCGCTGCTTCTCCACGTTGAGAGGAGCCAGTTGAGGTGGCTCGGGCATCTGTTTAGGATGCCTCCTGGACGCCTCTCTGGTGAGGTGTTCTGGACACGTCCCACCGGGAGGAGAACCAGAGGAAGACCCAGGACACGCTGGAGGGACTATGTTTCTCGGCTGGCCTGGGAATGCCTCGGGATTCCCCCAGAGGAGCTGGACCAAGTGGCTGGGGAGAGGGAAGTCTGGGCCTCCCTACTTGGGCTGCTACCCCGCGACCCGACCCCGGATAAGCGGAAGAAAATGGATGGATTGATGGATGGATGGATGGGTGTTTAAACCTCTGCAGACATAAAGTAAAAATATTTCAACTGTAGTGACAAAACTACAAATGTTGTGCTGGAAGATCAAAATATAGGTTGAGGTTGCAAATGTTTTTAATAACCTATGAGTACTGACTGACATATAAACTGTACATACCTACAGACGATAAAACTTTCTGCATGAACTATACCTTTATCTACAGGCATAATGCCAACAACAAAATAGAAATCGTAAGGAGGCTTAAATTATTTTCTAAAACTCAAGCATGATGAAAGCCGCTGTTTATTCTTAGTTTAATGAAAAGGCTTTGTCCTTTGTTCTGTTCTCCTGGAAAGAGACCATTTAGGCCGGGTTATAAACTGTGGGGAAATATCAGTTCAAAGGTCCTGGTGCTCCAACAAATGCAGGGATGAAGCCAGATGGACTTTAAAAGCTTCTTCTAACAAGGTGGAGTCAGGTCCTCTGGACGGATTCTTCTTGTTGAAATGTTTCGTCTTTTATCCAAAAGACTTCTTCAGTCTGAAGAGCTGCAACAAACTGAGTCAGCCCAGAGGATCTCGTTAGATTATTCCTATTACTGAAAATGTATTATTTGAAATAAATATGGTCCTAAGCAATTAGTTGTAAACCCAATATTTTCTTGTTTCCACTATGTTTAAGATGTGTCAGCTGAGAAAGCCTGTCTTATATAAAAAAAACTAAGCATACTCTGCTGAACCCCCATAAGTGCCATTAGCCCAGAGTGTGGTTGAACCAGTCCAACAGTGGTTAAAAGCTACAGTCAGACAAGGAAAAGAAAAGCCAAGTTGTAATTTGTTCTAGAGAAAGAAAACCCAGAAGGCAACAGTCCAAAACCAAAGGATCATTAAAGGTCTCAATGCAGAAGCATACAATCACTGTATTTGTCCATTGTTCTTCCATTTGTCACAAGTTTTGGTTTAAATCTTCACCAGCTTTGGAAACAACCAGATGAACTATATACATCAAAATGTGGCTCAGTCAGGATTAGTGGGTTAACCCTTTGGTAAAAAGTGTGGTGTATAAGAAATGTGTAAAAACTGTAATAAAAAAATAAATATGTAAAGAAATATAGAGAGCCACAGAAATTTGGCAAAACAAATGGGACAATTGGAAATCTGAGCAGCAGCTGCACCAGCGCTCCTTTAAATGACTTTAGAAATGTTCTTACCAAACCTAATGAGAGCATTAGCCATACAACTGTGCTACACTTTATACAACTCTTTAAATTATAAGAACTGGAAAATGTCAGCAAAAAGATGCAAGTTAGAACTAGAGAGTAAAAAATCCCCATGTGTGAAGTTTACACAGTTAAAGGCTTTGTGCTAAAAAGGACCAGGGTAAATACTGGTTCTCCAAAAATCAAAAACTACTGAAGACAAAAAAATTAGAAGCTGTTGGGTCTTTGGATATTTATAGAATATTTTGTCCACTTGATAAGGAGTAAGGATTTACTAGAACAAGGACAGATTAGGTTTTCCAGAGCCAGAAGATGGACTCACGGCCATATCTTTATGTGAAACATCTGAACTGAGAGACACTTTGACTTGTCATTTGTGTAATAATTCTTAAAAACACATCTGAAAATCTCATCAGTCCTGCTCACAAACTGTTTCAGGATCCATAAATGCAAGCTGGTGAAAGGAAAGAGTCAGAGTGAAAACATGAAGCTTCAATCTGCTGATATGATTAGAGAGTGACAACAGGTGTACTGATTATACATAGGAAATAGGTGTGTGTCTGTGCATGCACTCTAACATGTGTGTGTTTGTGGCTGTGCATGCGCTCTAACATGTGTGTGTGTGTGTGTGTGTGTGTGTGTGTGTGTGTGTGAGAGAGAGAGAGAACATGAACATTCTGTTTGTCTGTCTCTCCTTCCTGTCCTCTCAAACCAGCCGGTCAAAGCAGATGGCCGCTTGTCCTGAGCCTGGTTCTGCTGGAGGTTTCTTCCTTTTAAAAGGGAGTTTTTTCTTTCCACTGTTGTCACTGTGCTTGCTCAGGATGGGAGACTGCAACAAAGCCAAGATTCAACTTGTCTGCTGGATTCCTTAGATAGAGAACTTTGCTAATTGGCTTTTATGCATGTGAATGTTCCTGTAAAGTGCCCTGAGGAAACTTTGTTGTGATTTGGCGCTATATAAATAAACTGAATTGATTTGTGTGTGTCAGCCATCAAAGGGGGAACAGAGAACTGTAGCCATAGAAAATAAAACAAAAACTCAAACTGCCAAGCTGAACAGATAAAAACTGACAGAAAAGAAAAATATACCTAAATAAAGTTATTCTAAAACAATACAAATCACAAACCATGACACTGTTTTCAATGAAAATTGAGAATTTTGTAGTAAAAAAAGCAAAGTTAAAGTAAAGCTTCTTTTATTCACCCAAGAATTGAAACCTTCTTCTCCTGTTAAGGTGGCAGCAAACTTTGTTCTGGCTACATTTCATACTTTACAGAAAGTGAAGTCCAGTACTCCCATCCTGACTCCTTACTTAGACACCACACAAGAAATAACTTCATAACACAGATGATGTTTGGCATCATCAAATCAAGGCCAAGAGAAAACATTCCCATCAATGTCTTCTTGCAGACCTGGGAGAGAGAACTTTTTTCTCAACTCTTGTCAAGAATGCACGAGCCTTAAATGAAAACTTTTAAACACAGCGTCCATGTTTCCACTGGTTGTTGGTCTCCATGAGTGCTCACAGAGTGACTTTAGACCTGGCTCCATGTGGGATTCTAGAAGGCTTTTCTTTTACATCTAGTCTCTTACAAATTCTACAGTTGTATGTATGTGTGTGTGTGTGTGTTCCCTTTTAAAATCTTTTCTGGTATAATCATGTCCACTCTCAGGACTGGTAGTCCTTACAACGACCTCATACAGTGAAACCATTTTTAGGTTAGGGTCGGGTTCAGGGCTAAGGTGTGACTGGGTTTAGGTTATGCTGGTCATAGACGTTTATGGTCAGGGTTAGATTACAGAAATAAATACAAGTCAATGCAATGTCCTAATAATTACATAAACATGTGAGAGTGTGAGTGTATGTTGGGGGTCTGCGGCACCTCACAATTAGATTTGATTAGGATGAAAGGGCGGTGATGCAGAAACATAATGAGATATCTAGATTTTTTAGAAACTCTAGTGGAAATTTCATCTGAGTCTTCTTCCACAGAGTCTTTCTCTTTGCCAGTCTTAGACTGGTGAAGAACTCTGGCAACAGGTGCTGTATGCTCAGTGTCTCCCTCTGACCTGCTGAAGCTGTATCTCCTTCAGAGGGAGCACAGCTGTCATGCTGGACTCTCATTGTTCTCCTTCTTGTGTGGTCACCCAGTTTGTGAGGACGGCCTGCTCTTGGTAGATTTACTTCCTTTACTCCTTCCATTTCTTTTACTGAATTCAACAGAACTCCTGGGGATGTTTACGGCCTTGGAAAACTTGTACTTTTCAACTATCTTCTCTCTAAATGTTGGTGCAGTCACCTTTTTTTTTTTGTTGGGGGGGGGGGGGGGGGGGGTATTTATGCAATCCCTCATTTATATTTTAATTTAATTGGTATTACTCTATAGAAATTTTATTTTACTTTGAAGTAGAGGGTTTTTTGTAAAGAAGCTAATTCATAGTGACCACCATGACTGGTTTATGAAAGCAAACAAAACATCAAACCTATAAAGGGGATTAATATTTGTATATTTGTTACAAGTGTTGTAGGTCACGTCTCAGTTGTGTTCACATGGTAAACAGTTGCGCACGTCAGTTATTACAGGTTATTACCAACAAATAATCAAATTGACACAAAACTGATAAAGCATGGTTGAAGTCTGCACTGCATCAAAACAGAGGTTATGACCCCCATCGTTAGTGTGTGTGTGAGTGTGTGTTTCACCTGAGTTCATGAGCTTCCAGAGCTGGTCGACCAGAGCTTCATTACACAGAGCTGAGTCTGCCGTCTTGGTGAAGGGGGGGTTCTTACAGAGCATGCCCAGAATCTGATGTCTGCACAAACAAGAACATGAAGACACTTGGACATCTGCCAGCTTTGTTAGTCATTAAAGACAACATGTGATTATTGTTAATAATATTTCTAACTTCTGCAACATGTAAATGAAACACAGTGACCACAGCAACTTGTTCCAGAGGGATTCACTTCAGAACTGGCCTCTTCAAAATGTCAGTATCTGTATGCAGTAAAAACACTGACAACATCTTTTTAAATATAATTCTGAAGGTCTTTTGTAATAAAGTATTTATTTTTAAAGTTTATGAGATGCAGTTGACCAAGTTTTATCATTTTACTGTAAACCATTCGTCACCTTATTTGATAGAACTCTTATAAAATGTGTCTAATGCAAATAGCAGCTGGGTTCTCACAGACGAACCCTCCGACCTGTAAAACACACCTTTTTTCCAAGTGGAGCTTCATTCTAATGCCCAGTGAAAGAGACACACTGGAATGAGCACACGGTGCAGTGTGACATGGTGCTAACATGGTGCTTCTGTCTTGTTGGGTGCTGTGTGTGTCTTTAGTTATGGAGGTAATTCAATTCAATTCAATTCAATTCAGTTTATTTATATAACACCAAGTCACAACAGAAGTCGTCTCAGGGCACTGAACAGAAGCATTCAAATATAAAAATAATAATTTAACATTATTTATCTGAGGATCAGACTGATTTGAGTTCAACTCCATCGCAGAACTCTCATCTTGAGCAAGAATGAAGGCGAGAGTGGAAAGAAAAAACTCCCTCATGAGGAAGAAACCTTTAGCAGAACCAGGCTCAGGACAAGCGGCCATCTGCTTCGATCGGCTGGGTTTGGTAAGAACAGATACACAATGGCAGTTCAAGAATCACATGTTAAGATAGAAATGGTATCAAATGAAAACTATTAAATTTTAACAATTCATTTAAGGAAATGAGGTCAATTTGTCCTCCAGTCTTCTTAGCCTTTAGAAGCATAACAAGCCGACCCTAACTATAGGATTTATCAAAAAGGAAAGTCTTAAGCCCAGTCTTTAAACTGGACAATGTGTCAGCCTCACGGACAGAAACTGGAAGTTGGTTCCACAAGAGAGGAGCCTGATAACTGAAAGATCTTCCTCCCATTCTGCTTTTGGAAACTCTAGGAACCACAAGTAAACCTGCAGTCTGACAGTGATGTGCTCTGTTAGGAAAATATGGAACAACAAGATCTTGAATATAAGATGGAGCTAGGTTGTTGAGAGCTTTGTAGGTTAGAAGTAAGATTTTGAATTCTATTCTGGACTTGACAGGGAGCCAATGGAGAGAAACTAAAACTGGAGAGATATGATCTCTCCCACTAACTCCAGTTAAGACTCTGGCAGCAGCATTTTGGATCAACTGAAGACATTTTAAAGAAGTACTCGGACACCCAGATAACAAACCATCACATCAGAGTACAACAAACTAAAATTGACCATCAGTGTTGTAATTATTGAAATCTGTATTTCAAACAATGTGTCATTACAATTCATTTGTTAGTAATACGCCATGTGTCCATGTCCAAATACTGAAGTTATTTATTGTCAGAATTATGAAAAACAACTACATTATGCAAGCTTCAGTTATTAGCAGATGGCAGAAGACCTCTGGTAGATGTTATTAAAGTGCAGTTATGTCTTGGTCTGATTAGAGTGATTACATCACTCTGTAACACTTGACTGGGCTCATTGGGAGGCTCAGAATACTTTTTTTTTTCACAATAACCATAACACATGTTGGTTAAGTAAACATCTTGTTTCTGTGCATTTGGGGGCTATGGCAGCATACAGCACGAATGAGTTGTTACCAATGTGTGACTTCCACATGTAAACGGTACAGAGGGACACTCACAGCACCAAACAAGATGGCTGCCACAAAACTTCCTATTACTGTAACAGGCTACACCATCAGTGTTCAAACTGCAACAAATTCAACCACCTGTAGTTGTGCTATTGAGTTATATGCTTTTTTATTTGCAATTTTATGAAAAACTATAGAAGAAGGTAAACAGAATTATCATAGTGTTGTTAAAGTTTGAGTTTGGAACACAGTATCTTGTGAGGTTAAACAAATCTAACACTATTCCATTATACATCTTCCTTTAGATGCACCATCCTAAGGTTTGTCATAATATTGAGTTTAATGTTTGTATTTATCAGCTGGTTGTGTCAATTCGGCTGTTTGGTGTCACCATCAGAGAAATGTACTAGCGAGGCTTTAAGAGGCAGAAACGGCAATTTACGAGTTGTGCCTGACCCAAACTGTGGCTCTGGACCTGGCCTTAAAGGCTGACTATCTCAACTCCTCCTGGCATGTTATGAAAAACAAAGACGTTCTGTCTGTCTCCTCACCCCTCCCTTCCCCAAGGCCATGGACAAGTGACGGAACCTCATCCGAGCTGATGATAAATAACACCTCTTATCTGGATTATGGCTGAGAAGGAGGGGGCTCTGGAATATGATACGACCTTCCCTTAAAATTCAATGTCTTTACCGGCCTATATGTATCATGTCTATTTATGCTGCTTTGCTGTGGTAGGTTTTTTTTATGCCTCAAACCATGCCCTGTCTAGGACACGGAGTGAGAGATCTTTTTTTATACCGTCTCTCCTCATGTTTTCTTCCCCTTTTCTCATCTACGCAAAAGTATTCTGAAAAGGATAAGAGGCCGCGCTCTTAAGAGCAGCAGCAACGTGCACTCCTGCAGGTCCACGACTGTGGAATGAGTTGCCACTGAGTGTCCGGCAGGCTCCCACACTCTCAGTCTTTAAGTCTCGCTTGAAGACCCACTTCTATTCGCTTGCCTTTAACACGGTGTGATTTGTTTTTGTCCGGTCTGTTCTCTACTCTGTTGGCCATTTTAGTTAGCTTCTGCTGCTATTTGTACCTGTATTTCTATTTTATGTTTTCCTGTCTGCTGTGCATGTTTGGTTCTTTTGTACAGCACTTTGGTTGGCCTTGTTGCTGTTTTAAGTGCTATATAAATAAATTGGTATGGTATGGTATGGTATCTTTCGGACGACTGTACGGACATACTCTCGTATCTCGGTACAATGCTAATAAAGCTTATTCTGATTTTGATTCTGATGTTTGATGGGTCTGACTACAGGTGTTGAATGACGGGGTGTGCTGCCACTTTATTTGGAGCAGCAGAACTTCTTAAAGTGCTTATATTTGTTTGTTATAGTTGAGGATTGATTTTTATAATAAACAGTTGTACACATATCTGTATGTGATGTCAACTTTTTCACACTTTGCCAAATTAAAGCTTAAGAAAATACAACACTGGACTGTTCCTTGGAGTGACAGTGACGTGAGTACTCTGCACAGGCACACAGGAGGAGGCTGATGGAGCAAAGTAAATCAGTGAATTAGAGTAAACCAATGAATTAGAGTAAACCAGTGAATTAGGCTGATGGAGCACAGTAAACCAGTGAATTAGATTTGTTGTGATTTTGCCCACTCTGCCTTTACATGAACCTGTGCTCCCTTTAGGAAACTAAAATGCTAAATTAGAAGGGAAGAGCTCTACAACAACTTTCTGAACCTTCACAACTCACCTGACATAGTGGACAGGGTCATTCTGGACCTTGTTGAACAGCCACTGCAGTTCTGTGGTGCTCCTTTCAACTGCATTCAAACAACAACAAAATAAACACCAAAATAAACAACAGAACAAAAACAGACAACATGCCACTGTGTCTTATTGGTTCTTGCCTTGTCCCAATAAATTATTCCAGTGGCTCATGAGATACATGAGTAAAAGACAGACACACAAACTGGATAAAACATTACTGTGTGTCTTTGACTTTCAGCGCCAGGCAATAAAAGCAAACAAACAAACAAACAAACCTGTGACCTACTGTTTAATGCCCTACCTCTTGTGTAATCAACTAGAGCTTCCAGTGCAGCAACCCGAACGTCCACGAAGTGTCCGTACTCGGCGTAAGACTTGAAGAGCGACGGGTCACTGGGGATGTGACCGTTCTTCTGAAACTCACGAATAGCTTTCAAACAGCTGAAGAAAGATCAAAGATCACAGAGGTCATTCAAATTACAGCTGACAGCTATTATAAATAAAAAAAAAAACCTGTTGAGTTTATAATGGATCCATTTACAACTAAGATCACCACTAAAGAAATAATAAACAAGTTCAACTTTGGTGGTTAGGATTTTTTTTTAAAGCTCATTGTTTAGCTACTTTTAGCTACCATTCTGCTGCTTTCAGCTACTTTTGCCACTTCCAGCAACTGTTTTTCTACTTATAGCTATCATTCTTCCAATTTTAACTTTTAGCTATATTTTTGCTAATTTTAGATTTCAGCTACCATTTTGCTACTTTTAGCTTTCAGCTACCATTTTGCTACTTTTAGCTTTCAGCTACCATTTATCCTACTTAAAGCTTTCAGCTACCATTTTGTTACTTTTAGCTTTCAGCTACCATTTTGTTGCTTTTAGCTTTCAGCCACAAACTTGCTACTTTTGGCTTTCAGCTCTCATGTTGCCACTTTTGACATTTATTTACCATTTTTGCCACTTTCTGCCTTTTCTACTATTGCTACTATTAGCTACCATTCAACCCCTTTTAGCTTTTAGCAATCGTTCTGCAATTTTTAGCTTTTCCTTGTCACGATCGGGCGGTGGTTGAGACCCAAATGCAAGCAGGATTCCAACAAGGTTACAAAAAAAGGCGTTTAATCACAAAAAGGCAACAATAACAAATAATGCTGTCGGGGCAGCGATACTACTTACATTCGTAGGAAAAACAGGAAATACCAAGGCACTAGGAGACGACCGTGAAGATGCAGCTTAAGCATCTAATGCTCCCCTGCCTGAGATGCAGGAGAGCATAGTATATAAAGGAGAGTCTCTAATTAAACACAATACGTGGCACCTGAGAGTCATTAACTATCTGCACAGGGCAGGGCAGGTGCAGATCGTTACAGTATCCCCCCTCTAATAAACGGCACCTGACGTTCTAAAATACCCAAACCCAACTTGGGTGGGTGGCGGGGGAAAAAACCAAAGGCCGGAGGGCACCAAAAACAAACAAACAATATAGGAGCAGAAGCGGAGTCCGCTGGGACCCCCTCGGAGCAGGGGAAGTGAGGAGCGTCCGCCGGGACCCCCTCGGAAACGGAGAGGTGAGGAGCGTCCGCCGGGACCCCCTCGGAAACGGAGAGGTGAGGAGCGTCCGCCGGGACCCCCTCGGAGCAGGAGAAGTGAGGTCCACCTCGGGGGCTGCGCGCAGCAACAGGAACCAGAAGAGAGGCAGCAGCGGCTGACACGGTGACCTCAGAGGCAACAGCAGCGGAGGAGGCAAGAACCAGCAGAGGAACAGCAGCTGACGTGGTGACCTCAGGAGCAGCAGCAGTAGCGGCTGGCACAGGAGTCACTGAAGGTGTAGGAGTAGCCACCGACAGAGGAACAACTGAGGACGTGGGACCCACCGGGGGCGTGGACTCAGAGGCTGCAGGAGATTTAAAAACTACGGAGACTGCGGTAGGCCTGGAAGCGACCACAGGGGCTGCAGCAGTGAAGTCCACTGGTGGTGGAGCAGGAAAACTCGAGGGCGTGGAAGCCGTCATGGAGTGTGCCAGGTAAGAGCGAGGCGATCTCCTGTCCCACTCTCTTTTCTCTCGATGGACAGTTCTTCCTGTGTTACTTGAAAAATACTCAAAAAAGTGGAGCTACTTGCTGGGTCTCTTTGTTGAGGGGAGCATTCTGTCACGATCGGGCGGTGGTTGAGACCCAAATGCAAGCAGAACTCCAACAAGGTTACAAAAAAAGGCGTTTAATCACAAAAAGGCAACAATAACAAATAATGCTGTCGGGGCAGCGATACTACTTACATTCGTAGGAAAAACAGGAAATACCAAGGCACTAGGAGGCGACCGTGAAGATGCAGCTTAAGCATCTAATGCTCCCCTGCCTGAGATGCAGGAGAGCATAGTATACAAAGGAGAGTCTCTAATTAAACACAATACGTGGCACATGAGAGTCATTAACTATCTGCACAGGGCAGGGCAGGTGCAGATCATTACATTCCTTAGCTATTTTAAGCTTTAAGCTACAGTTCTGCAACTTTTAGCTACCAATTTGCTACTTTTAGCTACATTATTACTACAAACCGGAATCCAAAAAAGTTGGGACACTAAACAAATTGTGAATAAAAACTGAATGCAATGATGTGGAGGTGCCAATATCTAATATTTTATTCAGAATAGAACACAAATCACAGATCAAAAGTTTAAACTGAGAGAATGTATCATTTTAAGGGAAAAATCTGTTGTTTCCAAATTTCATGGTGTCAACAAATCCCCAAAAAGTTGGGACAAGTCCATTTTTACCACTGTGTGGCATCCCCCCTTCTTCTTACAACACTCAACAAACGTCTGGGGACAGAGGAGACCAGTTTCTCAAGTTTAGAAATAGGAATGCTCTCCCATTCATGTCTAATACAGGCCTCTAACTGTTCAATCGTCTTGGGCCTTCTTTGTCGCACCTTCCTCTTTATGATGCGCCAAATGTTCTCTATAGGTGAAAGATCTGGACTGCAGGTTGGCCATTTCAGTACCCGGATCCTTTTCCTACGTAGCCATGATGTTGTGATTGCTGCAGAATGTGGTCTGGCATTATCGTGTTGAAAAATGCAGGGTCTTCCCTGAAAGAGATGACGTCTAGATGGGAGAATATGTTGTTCTAGAACCTGAACATAGTTCTCTGCATTAATGGTGCCTTTCCAGACATGCAAGCTGCCCATGCCACAAGCGCTCATGCAACCCCATACCATCAGTGATGCAGGCTTCTGAACGGAGCGTTGATAACAACTTGGGCTATCCTTGTCCTCTCTGGTCCGGATGACATGGCGTCCCTTGGGCTATCCTTGTCCTCTCTGGTCCGGATGACATGGCGTCCCAGTGTTCCATAAAGAACTTCAAATCGTGACTCATCTGACCACAGAACAGTCTTCCATTTTGCCACACTCCATTTTAAACGACCCCTGGCCCAGTGCAAACGTCTGAGCTTGTGGAGCTTGCTTAGAAATGGCTTCCTCTTTGCACTGTAGAGTTTCAGCTGGCAACGGAGGATGGCACGGTGGATTGTGTTCACTGACAATGCTTTCTGGAAGTATTCCTGAGCCCATTCTGTTATTTTCTTGACAGTGGCATTCCTGTTTGAGGTGCAGTGACGTTTAAGGGCCCGGAGATCACGAGCATCCATTAGAGTTTTATGGCCTTGACCCTTACGCACAGCGATTGTTCCTGATTCTCTGAATCTTTTGATGATGTTATGCACGGTTGATGATGATAACTTAAAAGTCTTTGCTATTTTACGCTGGGTAACACCAGTCTGGTATTGCTGCACTATCTTTCTGCGCAACAATGGTGGAATTGGTGATCCTCTTACCATCTTGGCTTCTGAGAGACACTGACACTCTGAGAAGCTCTTTTTATACCCAATCATGTTGTCAATTGACCTAATTAGTGTTAATTGGTCTACCAGCTATTTGTTATATGCTCAATTTCTTTTCTCCAGCCACTTATTGCTACTGCTGGCTGAAAACAACATCTTCAGAAACTGTGGCTGATCTGAAAAAAAGCTCATGGACAAATCTCAACACCTTGATGTCAAATGCAAATGTGATCATGTTTTAATTGTGCTTGCTAGTAGAGTTTTTTGATGTCTCAAATCGTGTCCTGATAGACAAGATGTGAAAGATCTTTTTTTGTAATACCACTATCTACCCTCATGTTTCTCCCCCTTTTCATATCTAAGATTATTATCTGATAAGGATAAAATGGCCGCGCTCTCCTGTAGTTGCAGCTTCGTGCACTCCGCCCATCTTTTGGACGACTGTATGTACATATTCGCGTTGTACCTCGGTGCAATTCCAATAAAGTTTATTCTGATTCTGAATAAAATATTGACATTTGCCATCTCCACATCATTGCAATCAGTTTTTATTCACAATTTGTTTAGTGTCCCAACTTTTTTGGAATCGGGTTTGTAGTTTTAGTATTTATTTTGCCAGTTTTAGCACCAATTTGACTAATTTTAGTACCGTTTTGCCTTTTTAGCTCTAGTATTCGTTTTGATGATTAAGCTTTAGCATTTTTTTTCTCCTTTTTAGGTACACTTCTGTTGCTTTTAGCTACTTTTTTTCTCATTTTAGATGGCGTTCTGGTCGTTTTAGCCTCTGTTTTGTTTGTTTGAACAGCTCTGTTTTAGGCTCTTCAGTTATTCAGCACTTATCCTTCAGTGTTTTCACACCAGTTTCCAGTTAGTTCTGCAAAACAAATAAACCAGAAGACTGTGTTTTTAGAACAACGTGGGTAAAACATGTCCTCTGTGTTCTGTACCTAACAGTGATGGTGTTCCTGAAGCTTGGCAGCAGCTTCTCCATGTTTAGGAACCGTGTGATTTCCTCCAAAATGAGACGAACGTCAGCATTTAAATTGTCCACTGTGCGCACCTCGTTGTTGATGCTGATGGCTGGAGTGAGCGAGTTGGTTAGGGCCTCGATCAGCTCTGCACGGTAGTAGTTGTCTGAAAACTGAACAAGTGGGGAGAGTTGGAAGGGGGAGAGAAAAATGAACGGAATTTAACGTTCTGGAAGTGCTTTGTTTTACTTGCAAAGCTGGCCAAGATTCATGCAAAATGAAAACACATGATACTTTCTTAAATGGCCTTCAGTACGCTATGATTAAACTAAAGAACTGCTGTAATACTTTATTACAACTGGACTACAAAAATTACAGATTTTTATTGATGAAGTTAATTAAAAATAGGTGATGTCACATTACACACAACAAATAATTTCCCTTTGGGATTAATAAAGTATATTTGAATTGAATTGAATTAAATTAAATAATTTTAAGAGTTATTATTTTAATTTGTTTCAGAATGTTCCATTGATGCAGAGACAGACTGACGTTCACAGGTGGAATGCAGAGCAGGTGAGGTACAAGCAGACTTGGCGGTTGACTCAAAGCATGCAGAGGGATGGATTAAAGTCATCTTTGACTAATGGTTATGGTCCCTGTCCTGATATATAAACCCCTGAAATTCAAAGCAAGTGAATTAAACTCTTTTTCTTATTCATTCATTCAACCTTTATTTAGACAGGTAAATCCCATTGAGCCTTGAGGACCCATTTACAAGAAAGACCTGATTTCAACAAAGAATGATGACAACAATGGGCAACAGTGACAACAATAAACAGTTATAAAAGTTATAGTCCAGTTTTATTTTTTAAACAAAAAGGATGGCAAAAAAAAAAAAAAAGGTAACAAAAACAGCTAGATTCTAAGGCGAATGTAGAAAACTAAAAACAGGAACATGTCTGCATTGGTCCCTGCCAGGAGTCCAACAGATTCCTAAAGCCACTTAGAGAGGTCAAGGTCGAGAGCTTCAAATGTTTTTGTAAGGATGAGGGGCGAAACGTTTATTTTTAACAAAAAAACGAAGTCCAGATGACATGATTCAACCTTTTTTGTTGTTATATACCTGGATGACTGAGAAAACAAACTTTGTGTTTTTGAAACCATTAGTGAAAAGGCCAGACTTCAGGGGTATCTGAGGCAGGCTTGAAACACAAGAGTCAGGGTGGCTTCTGGGTAATACCAGATGGCTAGGCCTCAGACTGACGAAGCCTCTTGGATGAGGGGCGAAACGTATCTTTTTAACAAAAAACGAAGTCCAGATGACATGATTCAACCTTTTTTGTTGTTATATACCTGGATGACTGAGAAAACAAACTTTGTGTTTTTGTAAGGTATTCCAGGAAACAGGAGCGGAGTAGGAGAAGGCCCTCTTGCCTAGTTTAGTCCTCACTGAGGGAACACTGCATGTAATAATGTCCTGAAAGCGCACGCTGTAGCTGCACTCACGCAGAGACATGTAGGAGGAGATGTATGAAGGCAGCAGACCAAGAAGTGATTTAAAGATGAAAATGTACCAGTGAGAGAGTCTGCGTGAAGTTAATGATGTCCAGTTAACCAGTGAATACAGGGTGCAGTGGTGGGTACGATAATCACAGCCAGTTATGAATCTTAGTGCACCATGATAGACAGCATCCAACATCTGCAGGGTTCTTGTAGGAGCGTTCATGTAAATAATGTCACCGTAATCAATGGAGGGAAGGAAAGTCACAGATACAAGGTGTTTCCTAGCATTCAGGTTAGACAGTTAGACAGGATCTGTTTCTGAAAAAGAAAGCCAGTTTAACTTTCAGTTTCTTTACCAAGTTTTCCACATGAAGCTTAAAAGAGAGATGCAAGTCAACCAATATACCCAAATCAATCAATCAACCTTTATTTATACAGGTAAATCCCATTGAGCCTCGAGGACTCATTTACAAGAGAGACCTGATTTCAATAAAGAAAGATGACAACAATGGACAACAGCAACAACAAAACAGTTATAAAAAAGCATACTACAGTTTTTTTTTTTTGTTGTTGTTTTTTTTAACAAATAGGATGGCTAAAAGGAAAAGGTAACAAAACAAAAAACAGCTAGATTCCAAGACAAATGTAGAAAACTAAAAACAGGAACATGTCAGCATTGGTCCCTGCCAGGTGTCCAACAGATTCTTAAAGACACTTAGAGAGGTCAAGGTCGAGAGCTTCAAATCTTTTTGTAAGATGTTCCAGGAAACAGGAGCGGAATAGGAGAAGGCCCTTTTGCCTAGTTAGAGAACCAACCAATAGTGTGTTCTGAGAAACCAATTTCTGAGAGTTTATGACACAAGATGTTATGATCCACAGTGTCAAAAGCTTTAGACAAGTCTAAGAAAAGTGCAGCACAGTAATCCTTAGCATCCAGTGCTTCAACAACATCATTAAGAACCTTCAGTGAAGCAGTGGTTGTGCTGTGTTGTTTCCTGAAACCAGATTGATGTGGAGGTAAGATGTTAAATGAGTCCAGGTAATTTTTGATTTGAGAGTTTATCAGTTTTTCTAGAACCTTGGCTAAAATGCAGAGTTTAGAGATTGGTCGATAGTTGCTGTTCAGTGTCAGGAGGGCTGTGATCAGTCTTACATCGGGGAAACAAAACAGCCACTGGCCAAAAGGATGGCCCAGCACAGAAGATCAACATCATCAGGCCAGGATTCTGCGGTCTACACTCATCTCCAGGCCAGCGGTCACTCTTTCAAGGATGAAGATGTTCACATCCTGGACAGAGAGGAACGATGGTTTGAGAGAGGAGTAAAGGAGGCCATCTTTGTGAAAAGAAATCGTCTATCATTAAACAGGGGTGGAGGCCTCCGGGTTCAACTGTCCCCCTCTTACAATGCTGTGATTGCTAGTATCACTCAGCCCTCTGTGAATAGTAAACAGCCATCAGCGTGCTAATGATCCATTGTTAGGCTGATGGTCCTTCTTGAGCATGTGATCAGCTGGTTTTGGTTGTCAGCAGAAAACTGGTTGATCCACTCTAAGAAGGTGCTATTTAAGAGACTGAGCTGAATACAGCACCTCAGACTGAGGAAGTCTCTCGGATGAGAGACGAAACGTTTCTACATTTTTTTGCTTTGTTTTTTTTTTTGAATGTCCAGAGAACCAGACTGAACTTTTTTGGATGCATTAGGGATGTTTTTACCTACATTATGTATGTAGATTGTAAAGAAGGTGGGTCCTAAGACTGAGCCTTGTGGTACACCATTGTTGACTGTTAAATAACTGGAGGAAGTACCATTATGTTGAACACATTGCCTCCGGTCTGAGAGATAGTTAGAGAACCAACCAATGGTGTGATCTTAGAAACCGATTTCTGAGAGCTTATGACACAAGATGTTATGATCCACAGTGTCAAAAGCTTTAGACAGGTCTAAGAAAAGTGCAGCACAATAAACCTTAGCATTCAGTGCTTCAACAATGTCATTAAGAACCTTCAGTGAAGCAGTGGTTGTGCTGTGTTGCTTCCTGAAACCACATTGATGTGGAGGTAAGATGTTAAATGAGTCCAGGTATTTTTTGATTTGAGAGTTTATCAGTTTTTCTAGAACCTTGGCTAAAATGCAGAGTTTAGAGATTGGTCGATAGTTGTTCAGTGAGGTGGGGTCACCTCCCTTCAGCAAAGGAAGAACAAAGGCTGTTTTCCAAGCGTCGGGAATGGAGTTTTGTCTTATGGAGAGATTGAAGATGTGTGTCACAGGGACTGATGATATGAGCAGCCAGCCTTAAAAAAATAAGGTGGAAGTCCATCTGGTCCTGCAGATGTTTTAGGATCAAGACCTTTTAACAGTTTATTAACCTCACTGACTGAGAATGGAGAAAAAGAGAAGGTGTGATTAACTGAGGATTGACTTGTAGGAGGGAGTTAATTTGTAGAAGTTTGGTTATTAAGTGAAGTGGCTGATTTTCCATTAGTGACTGTGTCAAATAAAGAACTAGAAGCAACAAAATGTTTGTTGAAACAGTTCAGGATCTCGTGTTTATTTGACACAGGAACAGAGTTAATGAGAATTTGTGATGGGAGGTCAGATGATTGGGGGGTGCCTGAGAGATTTGATGGTTTTCCAGAATCTGTTGGGGTCATTTAGATTTTTGGAGGTCTGAGATAAGAAAGTTTTTGTGACAGTATAAGTGGAGTTCAGAGCAGACATGCTTGGTAAAAAGCAAGGAGCTTAATGCCCCTTCCCTGAATGTGGGTTACCAGGGCATCACCTCAAAGCCAGGCCTGGGGGAAGGGTTTGTCAGCGAAGGCCTGGTGATCAGGCCTCTACCCATGGGGCCTAGCCGGGCTCAGTGCAAATGAGCTACATGGATTTACCTTCCTGTGGGCCCACCACTGAAGGAGAGGCCACATAAGTTGCATAGTGCTATGGGAGCCAAGGCGGGGGCCTTGGCGCTCTGGTGAAGCTAGCTCTGGAATGTCACCTCTCTGATGAGAAAGGAGCCTGAGCTGGGAAACTGTGCCTAGTACAGATTAAAGATCTCTTTAAAACATCACCCCAAACATCATCTGGAACTAACGTTGTGAAGTCTAACTCCTGCAAATTTTAAACACAGAGGAAAAGTTTGAAAGTTTACAAATATTTAAACATATTGACAAGATCACTCCTCTCACTGAGGGGATAGCTTGCAGAAACACTTGGAAATCAGAGGGGTTGGGAAGATCCAGAGAAAAGTTCAGAGATGACCATCAGATATAATGTTGAGCTCTGAAGATGTTCTTAAAGGAGAGTAATTTTATTTACTAAGTGTTGAAAAGAAGCACAAGTTGAAGCAACATGCAAATCTTTCAAGCGTTTTATATCTAATTTAGCCCATACATTTAACGAGTTTTCCAATAAAGATGGAGGGAAAATATATTCTTCCTGTAAGCAGAGGCCCACCAGAGTGTGTTTGCAGTAGAGCTGAACGATTTTGGAAAATATTCTAATTGTGATTTTTTACCTCAATAATTACGATTGCGATTTAATATGCAATTATTTTTCAATGTCTTCTTCTCATGTATTTTTCAATGAACACAAGCAATAAATCTGTTTCAGTTGCAAAAAACTCTACTGTTTTCAGCTCCGCTGCAACTCTGTTTCTGTATTTTTTTAT